GGAGATGAATATAGGAAACAGAACCTCAGGAAGCTATGAGAATAATAGATGGGTTGGAAGCAACTCGGGTCTGATTTATTTCCAAAATATCCTTTAGACTTCAGAGGCAGTAACAACAGGTTCCTTAAATCCTCAGTGGAAACTTCATTCTAGTGAACACAGGTAATAATGTAGTCATTTCAAAAATAATGATCATTTTGAAAATTAATGACACTTGAGTCTTTAAACTGTCTAGACTTTTTTTTTTTTTTTTTTTTTTTTAAGTAAGCTCTGCACCCAACATGGGGCTTAAACTCACAACCCTGAAATCAAGAGTTGCATCCCCTATCAGCTGAGCCAGCCAGGAGCCCCCTGTGTATAACTTCTTGATTGCAAATAAAAGAAACTAACTCTGGTTGGAAAAGGAGTTTATCAGAAGGATATTGAAGGGCTCACAGAAACAGTTAAGAGTCTTGAATGTTTAAAAGTTGTAGGCAGGAACCAAGGCAGATCTGGAGAAGCAAGGACAAGAAATCCAGCCATCATCTTTTATCAGGATTAGATTGGCCACAATGCCAACGGCTCGTACACTGCTCTGACAGATCAGCATTGCCACTGGACCCTGTTGCCACCACTGCCATCACTAGAAACCACTCTAGCTGCCACGAATGAATCCTGAGCGCCTCTTTGTCTGCGTAGCATTCTCTCCACGTTCAAAGTCATGAGTTGAGGCAGAGTCTAAGTCATATACAGCGTGCTGGCTACTGGTTTTCATAGAGTGAGAGGAGTGTTCTCTAAACGCCTGGCATTATGTAGGAGGCTAGTCACTTCTGTCATGGAAGTTGTAGTCCTTTGGCCCACTGACATGCAATGTAGAAGTCTTTTTTAATATGCTCCTGTGTTGCAGCAGCACTAGGGCCCTCCGCGGGGTCTGCTCCTGGGTGGAAGTGGGCAAAGCCTGTGGCTCTATGGCTAGACAATTCAACACGCTCATCCCCTGGTGCTTGCCCCCCACTGGAAACCAGCACAACCACTGGGCCGGCCTCTACGGATGGCTGGAGTGGGATGGCTTCTTCAGCACCACCGTCACCAGCCCTGAGCCCATGGGCAAGCAGGGCCGCGTCCTGCTCTCCGAGTGCGCCCGCTCCCAGGGCTTCCTGGACCCCTACCGGCTGTTTGGCAACATCCTAGATAAGCCCCAACAGGTGGAGAACACTCTGCTGCCGCCACTGGCCAAAGCCATTGGCTTGGAGATCAAGTGCTGTATGTTAGCCAAAGCTCGAGAGAGTGCCTCGGTTAAAATCAAAGAGGAGGAAACTACTAAGGACTTGTTTTGCCCTCCCATCGCCCTTGTTTCTGGCACCAGGGATCCCCAACATGCACTGATGTTGTATTTTTAACATGTCAATCTGTCAGTTCAAATGTGTCGTTCACGGTGTTTGTGGCCTTGGCTGACATGAAGCTGCTCTGTGAGGTTTGCTTATCAACTAATGACTTAGTGATCAAACTGTGCAGTACTTTGTGCATTCTGGATTTTAAAAGTTTTTTATTATGCGTTATATCAAATCTACCACTGTATGAGTGGAAATTAAGACTTTATGTAGTTTTTGTATGTTGTAATATTTCTTCAAATAAATCTCTACTATAAATTAAAAAAAAAAAAAGAAACTAACTCTGGTTAGTTTTTTAGTTGCTTTATGGCGTTCACCATAATGTTCAATAGTGTTGGTGAGAGTTAACACCCTTGTCTTCTTCCTGGTCTGGAGAAAAGCACTTGGTGTTTCTCCACTAAGTTTTGGTATTAGCTCTAGGGTTTTCCTGGGTGCCATTAATCAAGCTGAAGGTTCCCTGTTCATTACTCATTTGTTGAGAGTTATGATCATGAATGGATGTTGAATTTGTCCACTGCTTTTCTGCATCTGTCAAAATGATTGAATGTTTTTCTCGTTTGCTAATACAATGAATTTTATTGATTGGTTTTTGAATGTTGGACAGATCTTTAAATCTTGGTCATGATGTATTATCCTTTTTATATACAGTTGACCCTTTGTATGTTATGTGTATACTCTATTCCTAGAACAAAGTAAGCTAGAGAAAAGAAAATGTTATTAAGAAAATCATAAGGGAAAATACATTTATATTACTGTACTGTATTTTTAAAAATCTGTATATAAGTGAACCCACACAGTTCAACCCCATATTGTTCAAGGGTGAATTCTATGTGTTAATATTGCATAAGAATTTTAAGAATGTGTTCATGAGGAATATTGATCTCATGAATCCTTTGTCTGATTTTGGTATCAAGGTAATGCTGGCTTCATAAGATTAGTTGGAAAGTGTTCCATCCTCTTCTATATTCGGAAAGAATTTGTATATAATTGGTATTAATTCTTTTTTTAAATACTTGGTAGCGTTTACCAGTGAAACTATCTGGGCCTGGAGTTTTCTTTGTGGGAAGGTTTTTAAACTATGAATTCAGTGTTTTAAATAGATACAGGAATATTTAGGTATTGGGTTTGGCTTGAATAATCTTAGGCAGTTTGTATCTTTTAGGGAATTTATCCATTTCATCCAAGATGTTGAATTAAAGTCACTTATAATTCCCTTATTATCCTTTTAATGCTTGTAGGGTCTATAATGATGTTTCCTCTCTCATTCCTGATATTGGTAATTTGGGTCTTTCCTTATTTTTCTTGATTAGCCTCACTAGAAACTTTTCTGTTTTATTCTCTTTTTTTTCTTTAAGATTTTTGTTTATTTGAGAGAGAGAATGAGAGAGAGAGAGCACGAGAGGGAGGAGGGTCAGAGGGAGAAGCAGACTCCCCGCTGAGCAGGGAGCCTGACGTGGGACTTGATCCCGGGACTCCAGGATCATGACCTGAGCCGAAGGCAGTCGCTTAACCAAATGAGCCAGCTTTTGATTTTATTGGTTTTCCTTATTGTTCATTTTCTGCCCCTTGATTCTTTTTTTCTATTTATTTATTTATTTATTTGATGTGTTCCATGATTCATTGTTTGCATATAATACCCAGTGCTCCATGCAGAACGTGACTCCTTAATACCCATCACCAGCTAACACATCCTTCCACCCGCCTCCCCTCTCGAACCCTCAGTTTGTTTCTCAGAGTCCGTAGTCTCTCATGGTTGGTCTCCCCCTCCGAATTCCCCCCCTTCATTTTTCCCCTCCTACTGTCTTCTTTTTTTTTTTAACATATAATATTTGTTTCAGAGGTACAGGTCTGTGATTCATCAGTCTTACATAATTCACAGCGCTCACCATAGCACATACCCTCCCCAATGTCTATCACCCAGCCACCCCATCCCGCCCACCCCCCACCACTCCAGCAACCCTCAGTTTGTTTCCTGAGATTAAAAATTCCTCATATCAGTGAGATCATATGATATACATCCCTTGATTCTTATTTATTTTTTTCTTCCTTCTGCTTACCCGGGATCTAATTTGCTTTTCTTTTTTCAATTTTTTAAGATAGAAGCTTTAGATCACTAATATGAGACATTTCTTCTTTTCTAATATGAGCATTACATTTACTTAAAGCAGAATTTCCCTCAAAGCAATGCTTTAGCTGCTTCTCACAAATATTGATATATTGTGTTTTATTCAATTCGAAATATTTTCTGATTCTCTTTTTCTCATTTAGCCCACTGGTTGTTTAATTTCCAAATATTTATAGATCTTCCTGATAGCTTTCTGTATTTTTTCCCCTCGTATTTTTGCTGCTTTTGGCTTTTTGATATGCTTTCTGGGGAAATGACACTGGTCTGAGCCCGTGTTGTATGTGTGGAGCCCACAGGCAACCCACAGGCTATGGAACTTATGCAGGTAGGCAGGTGTATGTGTCAGCTATTGGCTGGTTTCTCTTGGCTTAGCCCAGGCATCTACCCTTACGTAGGAAACAATCCTCAAAGAAATTGAATGGCTCCAGAGAAAGCCCTAATGCCAGAGCTAAACCCCTTGCAGGAAGAATATCATACTTCCTATTGACTATCTGTATTCAACACATAACTTAGACTTACGGCCTGAATGTGGCATGCCAGTACTAAACGAGAATTAAGCGCTATCAATTTTGGTGTATTTATAGATGACCCATAGATGAAGAGTAATATTTGCCTTCCAAAAGGTGGAACCCTACCCATAGCATCAGAACTATTCCATTAAATGCGATCTTACTTTTACTGGACCAACACCCCAAAATGTGAGTGGTAGTTTGCTGAGTGACCAGATTGCAGATAATTTTAATTTTCTTCTTGATGCATTTTTGTATTTTCTAACTTCTCTTTTTTTTTTTTTTAAAGATTTTATTTATTTGACAGAGAGAGACACAACGAGAGAGGGAACACAAGCAGGGGGAGTGGGGGAGGGAGAAGCAGGCTTCCTGCTGAGCAGGGGAGCCCGATGTGGGGCTCGATCCCAGGACCCTGGGATCATGACCTGAGCCAAAGGCAGACGCTTAACAACTGAGCCACCCAGGCGCCCCTATTTTCTAACTTCTTACAGTGAAAATATATTAGTAGTGTGTTCAGATAAAATATTAAGGTAATAATTAGAATTGTGAAAAAAATGTAAGTATCAGATCTAATCTAGTGAGCATGACTCAAGGTATAGGCGCTGTGAAACTAATGATTTAACAGCAAACTGGGCTAATCAGAATTGTCTCTAAAGGTGTTTGCAAGAGAAGGAATTGACAAAAGCTTTTAACAGTATCAATTTGACTTTTTCATGAAAAACAATTGCAAGAAGCCCAAGAAAGGCCATCTGGCCCAACTCCCCACATCAGAATTCCTGAAGAACGTTAAAATTATACTGTAGTTAGGGATTTAACAGGGCAAGAGTATCCTTGTTTCTTCTGCTTGGCCCCCCATTTACTGGTGATGGTGTTCTTGCTGGGGGAAGGGCAGGAGGTTTTGAAGATTTTCCTACTACCCTCACTTTTAGAGAGGAAACGGATGCCTATGATCCATGTATTCACTAACATGCTTGTTCCTCTCTGTTCTGTTCACAGGCAGCTGGCTAAGAGTCTTGGGCAGGCTGGTGAAATTGAGCCTGAAACAGAAGGAATACTAACAGAGTATGGTGTGGATTTCTCTGATTTCTCTTCGGAAGTTCTAGACTGTCTCCCTCAAGGTCTGCCCTGGACAATCCCACCAGAGGAATTCAGCAAGAGAAGAGATTTAAGGTAAATATCTGAAACTCTTTAAGAATAACATGTTTCTACCCTTCTGTCTTCTAACTTCACTTTCTTAGGGACGGGGCTCAGATATTTCCATCTTTCTACCAACATTCAAATTCAGTTCAGTTGAGAATTAAGTGCTCTGTACTAGAGGTTGGCAAATTATGGCCCACAAGGTAAATCTAGCCCACTGCCTATTTATGTATAGCCTATGAGCTAAGCATGGTTTTTGTATTTTTAACTGATTGAAAAAAAATCAAAACAAAAATAATCTTTCATGAAAATTATATGAAATTCAAATTTCAGTATCCATTAAGTTGTATTGGAACACAGCCATGCTTATTTGGTTATATTTTGTTTATGGCTATCTTTTTGCACTACATTAGGGTTGAATAATTGCAACAGAGACCATATGGCCTGCAACGGGCTCTCTGGCCCTTTATAGAAGAAGCGTGCTCATGTCTGTTCTAGACCATTCTAATTTCAAAAGATACAGTTGCCATCTTTTTTTCTCATTGTTATGCCCTGTAGGTCTGATCAAATCAACGACAATGTTATCTGGTCAGAAGTACCTTCCTTTAAATGGGCCTCTTCGGGCACAGAGCAAAGGATTCAAAGCTTCTGTGCTTGGAGCTTCATTTTAAAGCTTTACTTTTAGGTCTGGAATTTGTTGGAAAGTACTTTTGTGGTATTTTTATAACAACATCTTCTTTGAAGATGTTTCTTCATTGTGGGATGTTAGTTCTTTTCTGATATTTCTCTTCAGAATTTGGTTTCAGTACTGGCATTCATTTTGGATGCCACATGGAGATATTTAGAACCAAGAAACTTTTCATACAACCCACTGAGGCTGTGGAAGGTTTTCTGCTAAGGTCATCCCATGTCAGAGTCTTTTCCGCCACACTCGCTTACTTCATGAAGCTGCACTTACAATACCTTCGCTCTCGTTGCCCATTACTCCACCTAAGTTTGAGAATCCCCCTTCTCTGCTCCCTCTTGCTATGGTAACTTTTAGGAATTTACTGCCTTTTTTTTCTTTTCTTGCCAAGGGTAGACAAGGAAAAGGAGATGACAGTCCCCTTTCCTACTTGTTAGTAGCTCTGATGGAACACATGTTTATATTTGAAGTCACTTAACTCAAGCTACCGTCCTGGCTTTCAGCAGTAACCACCACTCATGCAACTCCTACTGGTCAGTGATCTCATCAGGGGTTTGGGATCTTGGACCCAAACCTCACTCTCTCGGAACTGTCGTTTTCTCGTATACAAATTGAAGGGCTCGTTTTCTAAGGTCTTTCCCTAAACCTAGGAATCTATTAAAAAAAAAAATCTAGTAAGAATAATTGGCTGAACTTCATTGTTTGAAGTTTAAGTCAGTGTAGCCATTCCACAGTAACTATCAACATTTGAAACGTACCTACCCTTTCACCCCAAAACTTGGCTTCCAGGAATCCATCCTACTCAAAGCGTATAAGGATAGATGTACAAGAATGTTCATTGCTTCTCTGTTGTAAAAGTGACACTGCTAACGTCCCTCAACAAAGGAATGGTTATTTTTTTTTTTAATAACACAAACCTAGATTTCATTCTACATTTTTAAAAAGATTTTATTAATTTATTTGTCAGAGAGAGAGAGCACAAGCAGGGGGAGCGGCAGGCTGAAGGAGAAGCAGGCTCCTCCCTGAGCAAGGAGCCCGGTGCGGGACTCGATCCCAGGACCCTGGGACCACGACCTGAGCCGAAGGCAGGCGCTTAACTGATTGAGCCAGCCAGGTGTCCCTGGAATGGTTATTTTTTTTTTAAGATTTATTTATTTGGGGGGGGAGGGCACACAGGTGTGGAAAGGGAAAAGGGAGAGTCTCAAGCAGACTCCCTGCTGAGTGCAGAGCCCAATGCAGGACTCAATCCCATGACCCTGCGATCATGACCTGCGCCTACACCAAACATCCGACACTCAGCCCAGGCACCCCGGCAAAGGGATGGTTAAATAACCTATGTCATACCAGCAAGCTTGTATTCCCTGCAGCTGCCAACCAGGGACTAGATCCATGTGGACTGTCCTAAAGGGACGGCTATCATATGTTGCCAAGTAAAAGAAACAAGTTTCAAAACAGTGTGAATATGAGCCTATTTTTAACAAAGCCAGAGAATATAAAAATACTATCCAAATGTATATACCCATGCATACATATATAGGTACATATAAAAATATATATGCATAGAAAAAGGTCTGGAAGGAAATACATCAAACTGTCGACGGCGATTTTCATCTGTGGACTTGGTAGGGTAGTAGGAGGTAGGGAGGCAGTAGTTTACTTCATTTTATAAATTGCTCTATTTTTCAAATTATTTTTTAAAATAACTTTTATGTCTTTTAAAAATTATAAATGGGACTGTCAGAAAAGAGAGGTGCTCAATTTTTTCTAGCCTGATTCCTAGCCTGCAGATAAATAGTAAGGCACTTCAACAGTCAGCCAGCCCAGCGTGTTCTCAGTTCCCCTCTGGTGGATCCACGTTGCCTTTTTCTTTGGCCCCAGTTGCCTCTGAGTTAGGCCACAGAACAGGAGGCCTTGCTCTGCAGAAGACCTCTGTTAAAATATGCCTATGTGTCCTGTGCAGGGATCCACAGATACAGGAAGCTTACGGGATGAGCTACAGTATACTGCTATGAGCATAGTATCAGATTTTTTTTAAACCACCTTAACCTCCCAGCACTTTCTCCTTGCCTATTATCTCTAGGACTATGTTTCTAAAATTCAAATCTGATTGCTTTTACTCCTTTAGCTTAAAATCTTTCAAATGCTTCCTGATACCTAAAGTAGTCATCTCTAAACTTTTTTGAACATGCATTCCCAATAACATATATGTCTTTATTTTACAATCACAAACATATTTACTACTTTGCTAATTTACTATGTACATTGTAAATATACATAAAAGTGGAAATAACTATTGAAGATATTTTCCTTTAGAAAGGTATAGAAAACTGGTCTTATTCATAATTTTACTTTTGGTGAGAGCAGTATGATTGAAATTCTTTTTTTTCTTTTTTTTTCTAATTTTTGCTTTCACAACCTGTGATTTAGAAACACAAAGGTCTGATTACAAGTTCTGTGTATTTTGATACTTAGTTTTAGATTTAATGGTTATCATAACTGAAAAAGATACCTCAGAAGAAGTGAATTGAACTTACTAAATCATAATACGCATTTTTTAGTCCTATTCACTGATTATATTTGAAAATACAGTCCAGCTAATAAATTTTCATCTTTCATGATGTCAGTTAGTTCTTGTGAACTAATTGAAAGGTGCTACATTTTTAGATTTTTAAAAAATGGGTTCATAGTCTTTGGTTAGTCTTCAGTTGGCATCTTTAAACACTAGTTAGAAAATTCTGAATGTTTTTAAGTGTATAGATATGAGTAGTTTTGCAGTAGTGCAATTTTATACTTAGATCGTTTTAGGTCTCCAAATTTATAATATTTCAAACTTCCTTTTTAAAAATTTTGTCTTCAAAACTTGAGTTTCTTGTTTTATTGTGCCCAAAAGTCAGTAACTTTTTTTTCTTATTGTTAAAGTGTCACCTTTACCTTGAAGGAGCAGATTAAGTGTTTTTGTTTTTTTCTAAGGATCTGCTAGGTAGCATATGATTGACAGTCATTGTTTTGAAATCATACATGTGACTGGTGATGAATTTATATTAGGGGCAGAAGAAATATCAACTTTGCCATTTTCCTGCTATTAGTAGAATTAGTATTATTAGTTTAGTATTATCTTCAGTCTGTGGATCTTTGTAATAATCTTTTTTAGCCACTTGCCTATTTTGTAAGGATTAGCTTAGCTGAAACTAGGTAATTTCCATAAATCCATGTACGGGGCATGAGCAGATAGATACCCATTGATGACAGTTGGCTGAAAGCACAGGAAGTACTGAGCATGCCAATGTCATTGCCTTTGTGTTCTGGAACACCGAGTCCTTCATTTGGACACTTCACTTATCTCCTGACCCACATACCTTAGGAGGGCACCAGGATTAATTCTTCATGTATTTATGTATGTAATCAGTTAGCGTCTTAATTTTTACAATAAAAGATAATCATAAAGATAAGTCTGTGGTATGCTGGAAGTCTTTTGATCTGATTACCTTTTCCTTCTCTTGTTCTTACAATAGATTCCCTCAGTTTTTCAGCCAACAGATATTAATTGAATACCATCCAGGGACAGTGGGGATTCAGTAATTGGATGGGATTGTGCCAGAGGGGAGAGTTACTTGGTACAAGCATTTGTAGCACTATGATTTCTTCTGCTCAGAGATGCAGTGCCTTCAAAGAGGTTTTTATCAATATTAATTTTCCGAGGAATGTCACAAGAATTCAGAATGAGTCCCAGCACCCACTAAAAAACATGTGCTATGACTAAATTAATACATATTCTGTAAACTCCTAAGTGAAAGCTATGTCTTTTTCCTCTTCCTGTCTTTCCTATATACGTCTACTTACATATATTCTTTTTATATGTGTATATGTAATATATGCCAAGTTCTAAGTTAGTTACTGGAAATACAGAGACAAGAAAGGCCCAGTTCTTGTTCTATAGGACTTTACTCTTTCTCAGGGAGACAGATTTACACTCCGACAAATTACAGCAAAGTATGGCAAGTGCTATAATATCAGTGTGAACCAACTGCCAAGGGCATTGGTGCTTGAACCGAAATCTGAAAAATGAGCAAGCGCAGAGGGAACTGGAGTGACTAAAGTAGTCTTCATTTAGTGATAGGCTGTGGCTGCAGAATAGATGACACATTCCCCTAAGACTCCCAGATCTTTCTATACCAGGGCTCACAACTCCTGTGGTTTTGATAGCTTCTTGACCCCTTCTGCTCGGCCACCCTGCCATGGAACCTGCAGCCTTACTCTGGCTCTAGCTACGTAAGGACTTCTACATACCCGTTTAGGTTTGGTATTTGAACAATTATATTTGGAACAGAAAAGTTCCATCAATCTTTAA